AAAGTAGCAATCAAGATCACAAGACAGGACATGTCTTGGATGCCCGCAGACCGCTCAATGGTTCAAAGTTTCACCCGGTAGGTGAATGCAGCTAACCAACAAATGCTACATATCTATTCTGCCTTTTCTGGTGAAGCTGTTGCTGATCTGGACATTGCGGAGTTTGACGGCAAGCCAACCAAAGTGCTGAAAGAACACTTGTTGTGTTTCATTGGAACCCCACGGTTCCGTTCCGACTGAAGTTATTTTTGGAAGACAAGAGTGAGATTCAGGGTGAGACGCTCTTCTTTGATCCCTCAGAGTGTGCACCTGGTGGTTCAAGTGTTTGACGCCAAATGAGGCGCAGGCACGAGAGCTAGTTTCTGCATGCGGTGATAATGATTTGGATACACTTGAGAGGTTGCTTGATTTTGCCTCTAGACCCTGATATGACCAGCGATGGTGCTCGAGCAATGCATGTTGCGGCCATAAGTGGCCATTTGGCTTGTGCTCGTTTGCTGATCTAAGCTCGGGCTGAACATGATCCTGAAGAGGTGCGCAACTTGGTGCAACACCGTTGCATATCGCAGCGGTCCGTGGGCATGCAGATGTTGTTTCGTGGCTTCTGGAACTTAGAGCTGACAAAGACCGACGCACCCGGGATGGTGGTGAAGGCCCATTATATTTTGCGACTTTAAATGGCCATTTGGAAGTTCTTCACGCCCTATTGGATGCAAGGGCTGAACTGAACACCACAACCACAGATGTCTGCAGCACGCCTTTGCATTGTGCAGCTCAGTATGGCGATGCAGAGTTTGTCCGACTTCTGTTGGAGGCTGGTGCCGAGAAAGATGCCATCCAGCAGGGTGGAACAACCGCTTTGTATATAGCTGCTGATGCAGGCAAAGTGGAAGTTGTTCAATTGCTACTTGAGCTTCGGGCTGACCAAAGCAAAGCCAGCTACGAGGATTGTTTGATGCCATTGCACGCAGCAGCCCGCTCAGGGCATGTTTGCGCGCTGCAAGCCCTGCTCGAGGTCCGGGCAGATCAGGACAAACCACAAGAGATGTGGGTGCACGACCATTGCACTTGGCTGCTGGTCACGGACATGTGGAAGTGGTTCGTGCGTTAGCCCAGGGTGGGGTGGACATAGATCGGCCCACAACTGAAAACGGAACAACCCCGCTGCAATGGGCCATGCTGGATCATACAACCCCGTTGCATGCAGCAGCCTACCAAGGTCATACGCAGGTCGTTCTCTTGCTACTTGAGATGAGGGCGGAGAGTTACAAGACCACGGACCTTGGAGTCACACCTCTACAGTGGGCAACTAGCAAGGGGCACACTGAGACTGTGCACTTGCTGGTGGATACGAACCGGTGCTCAAGACAGGGTGGCGCTACAGTGCTGCACTCTGCAGCTGAGGAAGGCAATGTAGATATGGTGCGCTTGCTTGTGATGGGTGGAGGGCAGACCGATGCAGTGACAACGGCAGATGGTTCAACACCTTTGCACGCTGCAAGTCGTCACAGTCATACTGCGGTGGTTCGCTTGCTACTCGAGCTCAGGGCAGCGACAAGGCGACCAGAGATTATGGCCTTACCCGCCTTACCCCTCTTCATTTTGCGGCCATGCTAGGGCTGCTAGGGCACATGGCCATCGTCAAACTGCTGGTCCAGGCTGGAGCCGACAAGAGTAGGGCTAGATCCGATGGCTCCACCCCACTGACGCTTGCAACTGAGGAAGGCCATGAGGAAATTGTGCGCTATCTAAACCGGATCCAGGTGCAAGATTGATTTTGTTCGGATCGGTTTTACTCTGTCCACAACGTTTGTGCCAAAAGAGCCGAGCTCACCTTTCACCTTATCATGTCAAAAGCTTGCGAACATGTGCTCCCAGACGATGACCTTGTTTGTCCCGACAACATAGCGTCCTGTACGGCTTTGTTCGAGCAGTCATAGAGTTACCTCATGGATACTGTTTTTGTTTCTGACTTCCTCTCTTCCTTTGTGCAGAATTGCCATTTCACTTGCTTAACTTTATATCCTGGCTGGTTCAGCTGGTTTGATCCACACTTATCCTGCTTTGTAAATTCACTACTTGCTGCATTTCCAGCAGCAAACATTCAGCCTGGCCAGGAAACTAGAGGAGCTGAGAAATCTGGGGAACTGATGGATTTAGACGGCTTTCAGCTTTGCAGGTCGAAACAGAACCAACACTTGCAGGGGTAGCATGATTAGGTACATGCACGCCACAGAGTTGAAGAAGTTCGCAAAATGGCAGCAAAGCAAGCATAAAGTATATCATGCAATGAAATGATAATATCACGTTATACACATTTGTGTACACAGTGTATGTCTAAATAGCAGTACAGCTTCAAGATAGCATGTCCTGCGCTGGATCTTGTAGTGCGTGAGCAGTCCAGGAGAAATTGACCCCGATGCTCGAGAAGATGATGTCACAAGCGAAAGTGCCTCGGCCGCAGCTTTGACCATTGGCCCCTCGTTGGCAGGTAGCAGCAAGATGGCCTTCAACTCATCAGTCGTTGTTGATTGGCTTCAGATGATACTTTTCACTTCTCTTGGCTTGAGTCCTCTCTTAGGCTCTAAAGTTTGAGGTCAGTTTCAAGCTTTCCCCCAACTGTAGCATTGTCGAATGAATGACTTGCCCTCCACTTACACTTTGAGCTCTGCACCCCTACCTGGTCTCACAATGAAAAGCTCGAAGTGGCCTTCTGTCAGATACTGAGATTCTCAACTTGGAGATCGGACTTTCAAGGTTATATCTGGATGTTGTGCTGTTCGGTTTTGATTGTTGGCCGGGGTTGATTGTCAGCAAAGGACGGTATCCCGGCAGCCTGACCAAGGTGGGGTGGGCAGGAGAATATTTCCTAGTGTGCTTTTTGCTGTCCGGATGGAGGTGTTTTTTTTCCCCCTCCCCTAGTCAGTTTGACTGCCGCGGGCACCTACGGCAACTGTGGCCCGATGATTCTCAGAGTCATGCCCCAAATTCGGGCAGGTTGATGTGTTTGGTCTGAGACTGTAGGGTCCATTACTCGTATGTTCAAGCTGTATATGTCGCAGATCGGCTCGTGTGTACTGAGGAAGAGTACAGGCAGTTGGCCCTATCATTTAGAGTTATTTCTTTCGTGTCCAATCTCTCCATTTGAAGCTCTAGTCTCGTCACAGAATGAAGGACTAGAGAAACATCAGAGCCCTTATATCAAACAAAATAGCACCAAGGAGAAACATCGACGGCCCAGACATATAAACTTCCATTGAAAGCTAATTTAATTCTCATTGGATCATGGGTTGATGTTCGGCACTCTCAGTAGCCTCGTGCTTGACCTGCGAGATGTACAGCTGGAACTGGACTGCTCAAGTAAGAAGAATCATGTCGAGAGCAGGTACCTTTCACAGCAACTAATGACCAGAAGAACTGGATTTCCAGCACTCCTTGAGGTTTCATCTCTGTTTGTATAGTGTTCTTGCGGAAAGAGAGTGACAATGAAACCATCGTTGGGCTCCAAGATTTACGTAAGACTCTTTAGGGCCCTTTTGGCCGCCAAGAGGAGTCAGGACTTCGCACGGTTTAGAATCAGGTGACACCGGTGACACCTGTCATCACCTGCTTGACATGATGAATAGCTGTAGGCAGCTGTCCTTTGCAGGGTTCCTTAAGTTCTCCGGATGGAGGCAAACAGGATCAGATGGCTTGAGCCGGTGTTGCCTGACATGACCAGTGACTAGTTGATGGCCAAATATTTTCATCGAGGACAACTCCCTGGAAACTTGAGATAGTTACAGAAAGTTACAGAGAGTTGTTGCTTATTTCTTTGGGAGTTGTGTGGATTGTTAGTAGAAATGGTGGTTCTGGCTTGAGAGCTTTCCCGGCATGGCCCGACTCTCCTGACAAAGTCAAGAGCGCGAGTTCTCCGGACAAAGCAAAGCGGTGAAGTGAGATTGAAAATTTGCTTGCCTGCTGATCACTGATGATGCACATGTACAGTACAAGATTTCCTTCCAGCAGACAGCTTGGACAATTTTGGAAGAAGGAACTGTCATCGGAATCTCTTACCAACAAAATCAAAGTGTTGGCTCTTCCAGCTACTGAAGCAGTGAAGGCCGTGCCAACGAAGCCCTATATGCCTATATTTTATAATTCACCATGTAGCTGTTATGCGTAAGCTCATGGAACTTGAAGAGTTTTTGTCATCCGGTCGTTCCTATCCAAGACCTTTGCCCCGATATGTTACAGGTTTGTGGCTCTTGAGCCTTCGATTCACAGGGGACATGTGCAATCAGAATGCAGGACAGGGTTTCCCGTCCTGGCTTCATGCCCCGATCTCGGAGTCACAGAGATGACGTCAACGAGATGATGACTCTCCAATGGCGCTGTTGGAGGGTATCTTGGCACATGCGCTTGAGGCTCGGACGATTGTGTAGTTTCTTTTGGTCATCCTCTGCAACTACTCGTGAATTTTTGGAACTTGTAAATCTAAGCTTGGCTGTGAAAGTCTTCAAGCGACCGGCTAGAAGCTGTGGGATTCAATGCTTGCAGTTCGCTTAGTTTGTGTGTGTGGTGGATGTCATTCATAAGCAGCTGCATCCAAGAAGCGCTGCAGAGCAACGATCATTTGACATGTTGTAGAGATGACAAGATTTGAACAGTTCTCAGCCTATCATGAAGGCTCCAGCTTCCACAGCCTTGCTGTGGTACGACCCTCTGGAGCCCAAAGAGCTGCAGGCCTCTTCTATTGCTGGTCAATGAGTCCGAGCATTGATACAGTTCGCAACTGCAAGTTTCATGTCAATCATACACATATATCATATGTCAAATACATTCATATATCATATATCAATATATAAATATAACTTAACTAAATTGAAAGTTTGAGAAGCAAACTTCTAGACAGATTAGCACTGATGTTTTGGGTGGAAGGGTGGGACCTGCCTCAGTATCGGCTCTGCAGGCCCCCCCCTTTTGTTTAAGGGATTTGAAAGCGCCATGCTACTTGGACTCGCGCGGGCTTGATGTTAGCTCCCGCTACAGACCTCATTGGCGTGGCCGACTTGCAGGGCATCCGAGACATCGTGGGGATCCCCCAATCAGTGTGGACCGCTTTCATCAATCAGGTGGGGGATCCTGGAACGAGCATTTAGTTTGTGGCGGCGTTGCCAGCCTTCATTGTGTCGCAGGCCTGCTCAGCGGCCACCTTTCCTGATGGGTCCATGTTCAACCCCATCAATGCCACGCAAGTGGGGCTGGTTTGGCGAGTCTGCCGGAAAGCCATCTTTGTCAAAAACGGAGGTGCAGAAGCCGATTTCATTGACGTCGAGCCGTGGAACGATCCGAACACCACAGCGCAAAGCCTTCCTGCAGTACCAGATGGGGCTACCAAAGCGACAGGGGTAAAAGAGCATGTCCTTAAGATGGCCTCCCTTGTCGACCAGTCGGACGAGAGCGAGTTAATACCAGCAGCCCCGGACAAGGTGCAGGAGTGGATCCAGCGCTACATCACGACCATGGGCTCCCCACCAGAAGAGGAGGAGGAGGCAACAGACGCTCAGCTTGCAGCGTTGTACAAGCGCACAGTGGTGCTGAAGCAGGCGCCTTACTGTGACTTCAGCGTTTGGACTCCCTTCGGAAGGAGGGCACTGAGGAGTCAGAAGTTCCGCACCTTTGTGCCTCTGGGAGACGGCAGCTTTCTGGCCAAAGAACTACCTGGACCGCAAAACCTTCAACAGTGGTTGGCGTCGTGGAGGGTGTTCAAAGTTGCGGCAATCTCCCTGGGCATCATTTCTTTGGCGTCCCTCCAGCAGTACGAGAAGTTGATAGAGAGGTTGACCTTGCACTGGCCCCAAGCTTGGGGCCTGATAGCCTTGGCGGACGACAAGGCCAGAGCCGAGCGCCTGGAGAAGATACGTCGTGGACTTGTTGCAGACCAAGCTTCGGGAAGGGAAGTGCCACCGGGTTGGGACCCAGACAGTCCTTGGTCCCTCTGCTTTGGCCTGTTGGTCAAAGACGACACTTTCTGGTCGGAGCAAGTGCGCCACCCAGCATCAGCGTGGTTAGCCGCTGGAGGTCGAGGAGCTCTACTGGCTCCGGCGGAGACAATAGCTTCTACCCATCTTGCAGGCGGGGGTGAGGCGCTACACACTCCAAAGGAGGATACAGATCGAAGGCGCCAAGCCAACCGTGACAAGAGGGCAGCCCGTAAGAAGAGGTGGGCTGAAGATAGGGAGGAGCTGACCAAGCTGAAGGCGCAGAAAGACAGTCATGGACGTCCTGGAGGAAAAGGCACGGGGAAAGGCAAGGCCAAAGACAGAGCAGGGGCAGAGATCTGCTTTAGCTGGGCCCAGGGAAAGGGGGCCTGCGCTGACGTCCACGTCGGCGGCGAGTGCAAAGGAAAAGTTCGAAGGGCCCACAAATGTCAGATTTGTTTGTCCCCGGGCCACCGCAATGACGCATGTCCACAAAAGTGAGACGTGGCGTTGAGCTGCTTTCGCACCCGGGTCATTTAGTGCCTGGGGGTTACCGGAAGCTGCAGTGTCGTGAAAAGTTGGTTTGGCACGGTGGGGGAAAGGGGACAAACATGGTACATCTGTCATGTAAACATCAAACGTTGGGAAACTTAGGGATTCTTGACAGTGACATTGGTTTGAAGTTAACTTAGTTGGTTGAGTTGACATTTGATGTTGTCAGGCAGGTTCAGGTGGACACGGTGTTGCATGCAGTTTCACAGTTGATTGTCATGGCAGGGATCCCGAGTCATGTTTGCCCTGCCGCTGCAGGTGTCAGAGGACCAAGCCGGCCGCGGCCATGGAGCCGGGGGAAGAAGTCGACTGGGACCCCGACGATACCAGCATCATCGAGGGGGAGTGGAACCAAGGGGCCCTGGAGTTGCTGAAAAGAGACCTGGACTACGCGCAGTACAAGAGCGAGCGCATTTTCAAGTTTGTCCACTTGTTTTCAGGGCCCAAGGACGTGCTGAAGGAGGCGCTGGAGCAGGAGGCAAAGAAAGAGGGCGTACGGATCGAGGTGGCATCGTACGACAAGTTGGGAGCCAATGGCCACGACCTTGCTGCAGATGAACCCTTTCTGAGCATCGTGGGCGATTCAGACAACATAGATGGATACCACAGTGGGTATCCATGTGGCTCCTTCTCCATGGTCAGGAGCAAGGAGGGAGGACCCCCTCCGGTAAGGTCAAGAGAATGGCCTCATGGGCTGCCATCCAACGACGCCAGTCAACAAAGAGAAGCTGACACTGGCACCATCCTGGCGGTGAGATCGGCCATCATTGCCGCCAAGGTGCTGGGGATAGCCAGCGTAGGCGCAAAGTTGGGGAGGTGGCCACACTTGAAAACCCTCCGGGGTCTGAGACAGGTCCGGACCTACCTTCTTGGGAGTTGGCCGAGCTGCAGGAGTTCCTAAAGCAGTATGAAGCTCAGGTGGCGAACTTCAACAGCTGCATCCATATGGAAGGGAAGCAGCGATGGTGGAAACCGGCGCGCTGGGCCGGAAGGCTGCAAGGCCTGGAGGGCCTGAGCGGGAAATGTCAGTGCCCCTCCTGGGTATCGCACGTGACGCTGCTGGGCAAAACCAGGACTGCGGCGGCGGAGTACCCCATGACCCTGGCCAAGAAGTATGCGGCGCTGGTCATCAAGGTGTTCAAGCAGAACCTGCAGTTGGAGTTCTGGAGGTACAAGTGCCAGACGAAGGCAATGGAGTTGAGCCAGCTTCAGAAGAACCGGGTCAAAAGCCGAGAAGCCAAGACACCCAGCCCGGTCACTGACAACATGCAGGTGGTCGGATCGAAAAGAGCCTGGCAAGCTGGAGACGTGGCTAAGGATCTGGGCCCCTCACAACAGCAGACGTCGAAGAAGGCCAGAAAGGAGAAGGAGAATGACTTCTTCTTGGGAGGGATGAGGAACCCAGATCTGGCAGTGAGGAAGATGCACATGGTGCGCACCGTTGGGGCCGACATAAGCCGAGCCTGGAACTACTTCTTGGAGGAGCACCCAAAAGCACTGGAGATCGCCGAGAACTACGGCGGGGGAAACTGTGCCCCCATCCAGAAGTGGGGGAGGCTTGGACCAAGGCCCTGGAGAAGCTGCTCAAGGCAAAAGAGTTTGACGATGTCGTCATGAAGGAGGAGTTCGAATTCACCTCACCCCTCAATGCCAAGCTCTGGGAGGCTTGGATCAGAGCAGCAGGGGATCCGGAGTGCAATGTGGTGGACTGGATCAGGAGAGGGGTGCCCCTGGGGATGAACTGCAAGATCCCCACGTGCGGCATCTTCCCGGAGACCTGGGAGGAGGACACCGTAATGGGAGAAGCTCCGGCCATAGACCTCATGCGGGACACGCGCAACTACTCCAGCTTCTACGACTTGATCGAGGCAGCAGAAGAGGAGCTGGGGCGCTACGTCCAAAAGGGCTTTGCCGTCATCAAGGACAAGGAGTGGATAGCACATCGCTTCGGGTCCGGGACGGTTAGCAAGATGGCCCTCATACAGAAGACGAAGGATGATGGACGAGTCAAGAACCGGGTGGTGGTCGATCTGCTGCGGAGTGGCGGCAACGCCAGGGCGGTGGTTCCAGAAAGACTCGTGCTTCCCAGGGTCATCGACGTGCTGGAGGGGGCCAGACGTTTGAATGCCAACTCCACGGAGTACATCAAGGCAGCCAAGAGGGAAGGATGGATGCCGGACAAGGAGGAGGACATGTACCAATGGGAGCTGGTCGGGGCAGACCTGCAAGACGCCTTCTGCCACTTTCCGGTGGCCTTGCAAGAAGTGGCCAACTGCATCTGCCCGGGGGTCAACCAGAACCAGTTCGTGATGTACACCGCCCTCCTCTTTGGTTTCAAGGCGGCACCTCTGCTCATGGCCAGGCTATCAGCCTTGATGTCCAGGTTCCTTCAGAGCCTGTTCTTGCGGGGCGAGGGGGTCTTGCAGACGTACATGGACGACCCGCTCTTCATCTTGGCGGGGCCAATCGTCAGAAGGAACAGAACGTTGGCCCTGGTACTATACTCCCTCTACGCCTTGGGGGTGAACGTGGCCTTCGCCAAGGGCGAGAGAGGGCTGCGAGTCAACTGGATTGGGGTCAGCTTCGAGTTGGACTTGCCCAGGGAGCACATGAAGCTGACCGTGTCGCAGCGCATGGTGAAGGAACTCTTGGTCAAGATGAAGGACTGTGAAGGGGCTGGAATGATCGGCCTCAAAGAGCTGCGAGCTACGACAGGGAAGTTGTCGTGGGTGGCCGGCATTCTCCCAAGGATGCGCTGGGCGGTGAGCATCATGTATGCGGTGGTAGCCTCGGCAGAGAGGGACGCCAAAACAGGGGCCGAAGAAGACAGGGCGGCAAAGAGGGCGAAGGACAACAGGCCCAAACCGGTCGCAGTGGCCAGGTTCGAGCTGCCAAGGGCTTGGCTGATGAAGCTGCTCTCACAGGCCGACAACCTGTTGCTGCGCTCAGAGCCCCTATACCCGGTGATGCCCGATCTGGCCATCGTGACGGACGCGTCACCACAGGGCATCGGGGCGGTACTATGCCGCGTGGACGTCAAGCAGAACCAGATTTTCCCATGGGCGGCCCTGGAAATCGCCCTGAGGCAAGAGAATGCCGAATGGCTGGGCGTCCCCTGGAAGGAGGCAGCCTCCCAAGGAGCTCTGGAGGCTTGGGCGGTGCTGCTGGCAGTGCGTTTCTGGAAGACGCGGCTGATCCAGATCGCGCTGCTGCTGAAGTCAGACAGCACAGTAGCTCTTGCCATGGCTGCCAAGTTGAGCAGCCCGAGCCCCGTGATCAACTGGATTGGGGCTGAGCTGGCGCTGAAGCTCGAGGTGTTGGGCATCCCCAAGCTGGTGGGGCACCACATCCCTGGCCAATTGAATCAGGAGGCCGACTGGCTCTCCAGACCTCATGAACGTCCTGCAGAAGTTCCGGCCAGGCTGAAAGGGGTGAAAATCCACCACTTTGACGGGGAGGCCAGAAGGCGGGCTGAGCTGCCTCCGCCTGGCGTGGCGCCGAGGCTGTGGGGTGTGACGACGGAATCCACCCTGCGCGCCTTCGAAGACCTGTGATTTCCGCAGCTGACTGCGACAAAGGCTTACCTTTGGCAGCTGCGGGAGGGGGGGAGGGACCTAGCCCCCGCCACAAATCACAGGCAGTTTTCTTTACAAAAAGGGGTTGCTGGGGTCTTGCAATGTTGCATGTTTTCTTGCCCCTTTCTTTTCTTTTTGGCTCAACATGGGTCATTAAATGTCCCCATTGAACATCACCCAACCATTAGGTATATGGTCTATAATGGCTACTATAAGGTGATGTCCAATATACCCAAAATGGGACATTTACCAATCCCTGCTCAATGTTGTGTTTTATCCGCAGGCATTTTTAGGCTGTCAGCATGGACCAGTCAGTGGAACTTTGGACCCGGGACGAAGGAGAGCCATGGCCCTGGGCTCTGATTTTCGTCCTCTTGGGATGGGTCGGGCTGGCTTGGATGGCTGGCCGCGTCTGCCTGACGGGCGGACGCCTGCTGAAAGAGGGCACGCGCTGGGCATTGGAGACAGGAGGGGCGTGCATGGATCTTTCAAGGACTTCCTGCAGAACCAGAGTGCCTTCGCAGTGGGCCCGATCTGGCCCGGGGACGGAAATAGGGGGCATATCAGTGGAAACCCAGACAGAGGGTTCCCCACGGCCCTCAGCAAGGGAGGCTAGAAAGCCCTCCCAGACATCGATGCTCCTCGGGTTGCACGGGAAGGGGAGATACCCCACGACGAGAGGGCTGTGTGTATTCAACACACCCAAGGCAACTGGGAAGCCCGGACTTGGTAAAGGCCATGGCATGTCGCGCGCGGCCCGTGCTGAAGGACCTGGCGAGAGGGAGCAGGACAGAATCTTGGGAAGGGGAAAGGTAACCCCTTGGGGGAGACTACCCAGCATACGCCCACAGAAGGGCAAGGAGCCCGAAGAGGTCAGAGGGCCCCAAAACGGCATCGGAAATCATGGGGCTCTGGAGGTATCACGTTCTGGTCACGGTCTTCCTGCAGAAGTTCGACTCGAGGTGAAGAAAGGCTCCTTTGCCAAGGCCTTGGAAGTGGCACGCAGCAGAGACCTGCGGGGCAAGCCTGGAAAGAACTCAACAAAGGGTTTTGGACCAGCAACACGGCAGCGGTGAAGAGGTCTCGCAGAGAAGAGGTCATGAAGTTAGCATCTCTGGTGGCCGGGAACCGAGACGTGTTGCCGCTAAGCAGGCAGACAGTGGAATATGTGGCCGCCGCATTAAAGGCGGGGGGATTGGCTTCGGCCGACCAATACCTGAACGAGCTGAAGCTGTTGCACGTGGAGGCTGGTTACAGCCTAGAAGCTTGGCTGGCGCGCACCTTTCAGCCGTGCAAGAAATCGGTGGTCAGAGAAAGGGGCCCCATTAGAAGAGCTCCAGAGGTGGATCTTGATTCCCTTCCTGCAGGAGTTTGGGACAACGACATAGCAGCAGCTGTGCCCTTGTGCGCCTGGGCTTATGCGTGGGGCGTGGCCTGGATGCTCAGAGAGGTCGAGCTCTCGAAGGTGAAGTGGGAACACGTCACATGGAACAGGGCCACCAAAACGGTCCGTTTGTACATCCCCCACTCGAAGATGGACCAGAAGGGGCTTGGCGTGGCAAGAACGCTACAGTGCTGCGGGGAATCTCCCTGCTGGAGGGGCTGCGCCTGGGCCATCATTCAGGGCCTTCTCGAACGTCGGGGTCGTCGTGCAGGGTATGCGGATGAGTTTATGTTCACAAACTCGGTGGGAGCAAAACCCACCAAAAGTGAAATGGTGTCGTCATGGAGAGCCATGACAGACGGCGATATCGCTGGACACTCCGCAAGGAGAACGGGGGCCATGGCCTACGTCAGGAGAGGTATGGGAATCAGAGAGCTTGCCTTCCTGGGTAGATGGCGATCGGCGGTGGTGCTGACATACGCTGAGGAGGCGCTGGAATCCACACCGGCCAACAGACCCGGGGTCACCACAACGGTGGACGGAAGCGCAGCCCCGGGTACCCCATGCCCTGGCACTCCCGCCAGATTGATCATGACCCCAGTGGTGGAGGCGAGACCTCGCAGAGATGGACGTGCTGCAGGACATCTTGAAGTGACAAGGCCCAAGGCAAAATCGCTCTGGGTGAAGTCGACAGAGAGGGGTGGCTCCAACCCCTTACACTTCATATCCAACGCCGACTGGAGCTTGCCCATGAAAGATTGGACGACGGCATGTGGCTGGTCGTTTGCAAAGAGATCGGCCCACATATCCTTTGTCACGGACCCCTCCCTGAACGTCTTGAAGTGCAAGAAGTGCTTGGGGTTAAAAGGTCTGCGCGACGAGGTCAAAGGGGGTTGCAGTCCAGCCCAACTTGTGGCTGCAGACCTTGGACATTTGGCCAGCACAGACAGGCCTGGTGACATGGATGTGTCACAGAACCGCCCTTTTCGAAAAAGAAGGGTGGAGGGTGGGCAAGGCTCTTCGGTG